TTCCTTCCTCTCTGGGATTTGGCCCGGTGTGCTGCAGGGTGTGTGTGTCTCCATGGAGCTGTCAATTACCCTGGGTTCCCCCCCCTCGTCCCGCCCCCGGGCAGGGAGTGTAGTTATTTTGAGTCCGTGTTATTTTTTTTAATTTCCATTTTATGATTTAATTTTAATAATTAATTTTCATGCTTAATTTTATTTTTTCCCGTCTTAAATTTTCGTTAATTATTCGCGATAAAATCCCTTACAAGTTTACTTCGCTGGGTTGTCGGCTGTAACGTGTTTCAAGTGTTCCATGTAGCATGATGTCCAACACGTGTGATCATGAATCATCACATGCTAAATGTGTGTTTTCTTAAATAGAATTTCATACAATATATAAAGTTTTCCTATCAACAATAATCTATTAGAGAACTCTCTTTCCTATCACATGTGTCACATATGTTCCGTGAAGGGCGGTATGTGGTCCAAGGTAGACATTGCAGTACACACACGCGTGTGCACACCTACAGGATGTAAGGATTTGTGTTTCATGTTTTATTTATATTTTTGTTTATTTTTTTAAGGAGTGAAATCTGGTTCTGTGTTGAGGATCCGCGATCTTCTCGTGTGCGTGAAATCCTTCCGGGGAAAATTCATTCTACATCCCATGGCATGTGCGCCTGTGCTGTTACAACACACGTGTGAGACTCACATCTGTCGCAAATTCTTTACATTGAAATGTTCATTTTTCACTGATACTAGACCCGTGAGAGCTCACGTGTGTTCGCACGTCATCGACACGGATGAAATTCTGATTGCACGTGTTAAATTGTATATACACGTATGCACAAAATTGCTGCTTAAACATTAGATTATTATTCGTGTCACATTCCTACATACATGTCTATCAGATTACAACACAAAAACATCCATATGTCCAACTTACGTGTCATGCACACAGCTCTGGGCCTTATGTGTGTTTCAGGATATATGTTCCTGGCTCATGTCTGATCGTGATATAAATGCAGCGTGTGCCCATGCTGAAAATAATCCATGTCACATGCATATCACATGCATTGCTCTAGGCCTGCGTCTTTATACGGATTCACATTGTCTGTGTGTATCACGTGCGTGACCCTGGGCCTGGGTATGCAGCTATTTAGTTATGGTATGCACGTACGTAACATGTTTCACGTGTATGAAGTAGACGATTATGCATAGAACATGTGAAAAGCATGTTTTTATTTTTGAACATGCAGTGTACGCAGGAGACACAAAGGAACAGGCTTACACATATAACACATATGCAGACACACGTATAACGTGTGTGCACAGGTCTGTGCTCACGTCTCTGCCACTCCGTATAATCATGACATAAATGTGTTTTATATGTAAGAAGTATCCAGGCCCATAGTCACGCATGTCGTGTCTGAAGAGCATGTTTTTGTGTGTGAACATGGAGCGTGCCTATGGAGACGAAGACCAGGATATATATACATAACGTATATGCACATGTGTGTTTGAGACTCTAGCATTTTACAGACCCATTTTCTGCATAACTGTGGGCCTGTGTCACACGTGTGCGTATAACCTTATCTTTGCATGTGAGCAAGGGAGCGGTGTTTTCCATGCACGTCTATTATCACCTGTATCTATGTAAAGCACTTTTACATACATGTGTGCACAACGCTGGGCCCGTGTCTGTTTTTTCATGGTATAAATGTAATGTGTGCCATATGTGCTTAACAAAATGTCACACGCCTGATACCACACACATGGCTTCGGCCTGAATCTTTATGTAGCATCCACGTGTAAGTGCCTGTTCCACACGTGACTCCAGCCCATGGCCTCTAGTTTTCTGTGTGTGCATTTTACACGCATATTCCATGCATAACCCAGAGCCCACAGGCGTATAGCTGTGTAACTGTGACATAAGCATGTGATAAGTTTCGTATGTGCACAGAGATATGGACCTGGAACTATGCGTGTAACATATTAAAAATGTTTTTAGGTATGAATGTGAGAGTGTTCATGGGAAAAGACACATGTATACATAAGCTTACACGTGTGACTCTAGACCCACGTCTGTAACTACACAGAACTGGTGTGCATATAACATTCACATCATATGTGCTCACTAACATACATGCTAAGAACTTCACGGATCCTCAACACCAATCCTTAAAAAGTAAATAAAAATAAAATACGAAACATGGATTACTCTCGGCCTTTATCTTTACACATGTGTGTGTAACTTTACATGCATGTTGCATGTATAGCTCTGAGGCTGTACGAACATCACCACGTTTGTGACCGTGGCAGACATATGTGTTTCTGTATGGCTACATCATGCAGACCAAGAGTTGTACGTATAACACATGAAATGTGTGTTTTTGTGTTGTGCATGCATGCACAGGCAAAGGATTGGCCTGTACACGTAATGTGTGTACTTGTGAGAACAGCTCTGGGCCGGATCTTTACAGCTGTGTGTAAATATGTCATCTTCATATCCATATGTGAACAGGATATAAACGTGTGTTTTATGTATATAAAGAGGTACACACCTGGAATCAGGCACAGAACGGGAAAAAGGAGGACTAGAGTGAAATGCACCATTTTATTTATGAACATAGAGTCTACATGTGAAAAGGATATTGACTTAGGCCACACCTAACGTGTTAGCGTGTGTATGTGTCTGCCTGGGCCATCTTTATAAATACACATATGCTGCGGTCACACGCAAGTACCTGCAGCCAGGCACACACAGTTCACCTGTGTCTACCCTGCTCATATTCGTGTGTCCACATGTGTAGAGCATATGTATGTGTTTGCATGTCCACACTCACTCTCGGTTTTACTTTCCACACATGTACATCCGGGTGCGCACATATCTGTTCACCAGGAGCCCACGTGCACACATGTGTGTACACAGATACCATGCCGTGACATCTACTCTGTTCCATACATGTGTGTGTAATGTGTGTATGTGCACATGCATTTGTGTTCTACATAGTCCTAAGCCTACCTTGCCTATGTCTGTGCACATATAACTTCATATGCATGCACGCACACACGTGTATTTGCAGAAACATGCATGCTCTGCCTTGTAATTGGAGTGGTGGGCGACGTTCCGGCCGCCCTGGCTCCCGCATGGCTAGCTGTACCCAAAATAATTACACGGAAACTATTATTTTAAACACTGCCTGGCCCGTTATCTGTAGCCTCTTATTGGCTAGCTCTTACATATTGTTCTAACCCATTTCTAATATTCTGTGTAGTCCATGAGCTGGCTTACCAGGAATGATCTTAACCTGCGTCTGTCTGGAGTGGGAGAATCATGGCGACTCCCTCACTCAGCTTCTTTCTCCCAGCATTCTGTTCTGTCTACTCCGCCTACCTAATTTTCTGTCCTATCAGGGTCAAGCAGTTTTCTTTATAAGTTAAACCAGTGAAAGCAACAGATAAGATACAAGACCCACCTCCATCACCCCTTGACTCCATATCTGCACACACATTCCCTCACATGTGTTTACATGTCATTTATACACATACACACGCTCCCTTGACCCACACTGATTCATATACATATATGTGGCATTCACACCTGTGTGTACACACTCTTGGTTCTATCATGTACCATCTGTCTGTTATGTTTGCTTGCTGTGACCCCCTCACCTTGCACACGTGTAAACACACAGCACACCGTGACGTTTACTCTGTCCCATACGTGTATGTATACAGGTGCATGAACATATGTGTGGTCCATCAAGCACACATGCTTGTGTGCACTGGTTGACTCATATTTCTTTTCCATGCATATATACAACACCTGTATTTGTACACACAAATGATATGCATGTAGCAAACACGCACCTACCCGCAGATAAATCACGTATACATGTTTGCAGCCGTGGCAGGGTTACACTGAAAACACATGTAGCACACATGCACATGTGGATAGATTGCATGTGCACACGGGCAGTCTCCAGTCTGTCAGGCTGGGATTCGAACTCATGTCCTCCCTTCCCAGTGACACCACAACCATTCGTGTTTCCGTTACCATTGTTCACATGATGTGTGCCATCACCATGAGCACACGTGTATGACTGCACACATGATTGCATCTTCCTCGTTATGCTAACATGAACGTGTTCTCTCTCCCCAGGCCTCGCACCCAAGTCCCCTGCATGGGGCGGGATGGCGCCTGACATGGTGACAGACATGCGGGACCCAGACATGACCCCAAGGGCCTCGGTGCCGATGTCATTGTAGCATCACCCATGGCATGTGCTGACATGTGTTGTCTGTGAAAGGTGACCGCCGGGTGTTCATTCACACGGGCTGTGCGTGTGCTGTCATCAGGCAACATCGCCATCTTGACATCGTCACAATCATTGTGTGACATCACCGTGACCATGGCATGACATCACTGCATGTTATATTGGTCATTCTTCCACACAGGTGACGTAGGTTCTTGTGTTCCACACGTGTCCCTGTCTGTTTTTTCACATGTTTCACAGATTCACACATTTTCTCATGTGTTTTACACACTCAGCCTGGTTCATTGTTTATTTCCACATACAGACCAGTGTGCAAGTCAAGCTTTAGCCTGGTTGTTATGCATGTGGACATTCATCATGCATGTACGTGGCTGTTTCTGTTTTTTTCCCCACAGTTTAGACACGCAGAACAATTTATGTGTTCATATGTTTTATGTGTTCATCACGGGTAATTTTGATTTTCCGGATCTCATCCATTCCATGTGTGTTCGCGTGGAGCCGCCTTCCGATGGTCTGCACCCGTTCATTTACTTTCCATGTGTTTTCTGCATGCGTCGTTAGCTCCTGGTTTGTAATAATTCCCTATCACAGGTTCATCTGTATGTTCAGCCATGTTCATTCAGTTCATGTATTAAAATCGCTCGATTCTCTGTTTTTGTTTACTGTATGTTTTCATGACACTCAACCGATCGCTCGACCTTGCTCACATGTTCTCTCCATGTAAAGCACTTATTTCCATTCCCCATGTGTCCATCAGTATTTTCCCCGCATTTCACGTGTGTACAGTGGTAAGGTTGTTTTCCATATACCGAATGTACTCATGTTTATATGGCGTTTGCACGTGTGTGAGCATGGGAAGTCCCGCGTGGACTCAAGTGAGTTCTGCTCACGTGTATTGACCTGGGATCCACTGTGCCATAAGCTCACGGGCATGGATGCAGGATCTGATGTCACGTGTGTGCTGGTGGGGTGGGGCACTGTGTGACATCATTCCCCATGTTCTGTGATGCCACTCCTGTTTCCATGTCTCCCATGACTTCCTTTCCCGTTTCCTTTGTCATTCCTGATCCCGTGTTCCCCATAGGCTGCCATGCTGTGACATGGGCAGAACCTTAGAGCCACGCTCATGGTGACGTCACTGAACACGGATGTCAGGGTAAGTGTGTCCGATGCGGACACACTTGTGGGCCAGTGAGGATGAGTCTGTTTTAGTCTATGCATGTACATTGTATGTGTGAGCACATGTGTATGTGAACATGGCAGTGCACAAGTATAGCGTGTTTGATTTCCATACAGGGGACAGGAGGCATCATTTTATGTGCATACTATGTGTGCGAGTCCATGTGTTTGGTTGCATGTCTCTGCGTGAGCCATGCGCATCTATGTGCACATACCATTGTTTGGCAAGCCTGTGTGGAAGAATGTGGTTTTAAGTTCACACACGTGTGACAAAATGAAAGATTTTGCATGTGTGATATGGAGGAACATGGCTACACGCACGTGATAGGAGGAAAAGGACGGGATCCTGAACAGTAGGCATGTGTCACATGTGTTATGTGTCTGGTGTACATGTCTGTTTCCGTGTTTGACTCATGTGTGTGGTGATGATGCGCTGCATCATACATGTGTGCATTGATGTTGTGGTATGTTACATGCATGTGGACAGGATCCTGGTAGGCAGGTGAAACAGTCATAATTGTACACATGTGTGTATGCATGGGTGAGTCCAGGAGTAACCGTGTGCACATGTATGTGTGTGCACTGGAGATCACATGGACAGGCAAGGCCACTCGATGTGCGGCACAGGACACATGTGGACGTTGATGGATACATAATACGTGTAATGGACATAGTGCATCGATGAAATGTAAAATACACGTTATACACGTGCTGTGTTCAACATGCGTGCAGACACCTGTAGGCTCACATGTAACATGTAGGACACACAAGTCCGCACAACTGCACATATTACACTCCCCTTCATGTCAGGCTGGCACATATGGACATGTATTGCATGAATGTGTGTGTCTGTGTGTCACAGTGCATTAACATTTACATTTGCAAGTCACATATGACAGGAACACACATGAGTCTCCATACAAAGCAGCTACACACATGTGCATTTTAGGTTTTCTTTCACACTGAGCTGCACATGTGTGTGTTTACAGCTAGGTGTCAGTCAGCGTTCACAGACACGTGTACACATGGGATCCTCTGCAGGTTTCTGTGTACATGTGTGGTGCATACATGATGTAGCATGTACAGGTTTACACGTCACACATATGACACACATATCTGGGAATCATCCTTTTCTAGGCTTGCATGATGCACGTATGATGTGTGTAGCTGAGTTCGACTTAGTGCAAGTTTACATGTCACATGTACGACACAGGAAGATATCAATTGACACACGTTGTCATGCGTGTGCTCGGCTCTCAGTGCCCCTATTTTTTTCCCATCAGGCCAACTGGCTACCGAGGATGCTGGGAGCGAGTGGTGGGCTCGGCCATGATTGATAGCTCTGTGGACCAACCCCGTGCGGCCCCACCATGATGAGGCCCCGCCCACCCAGCAGCCGCCATCACGCGTGTGCTCGTCTGCCTCTGCCCTGGATCCCATCCCTGTCACGCATGTTCATGTGTGTCTCCCTGCCCCCACCCCCATGGCCCCGTGACCACTGACGTGTTGCATGTGTGTGGCGTTTTGAGTGTGGGCATTGGCGGGTCCTGCATGGGTGCCGTGGTGAGCACACGGTACAGGAAGCTATGTGGTCTGCATGCACCCCTGCTGGGCCCCTTGGAGCAGTTCCTGGGTGTCATCAACACTTAGTTAAATAGACACCATATTGCTTTATTTCATTGCCCATAAAGATAATGAATGTGTATTATGAAATGAAAGTATTGCTATGCAGCAGTGTCTCTCAGCTACATCATCAACAAAGAATGCAGATATTGCAATGCTTATTCAACACACTTAATTAATATGGTCTGTCAATAAATGGCCAACATTGTCCTAATCATACTTTTCTCTCTCCAGCAGATGTGGATAACTGTGTGAAGTGTCCAGAGAACCAGTATGCAAACAGAGAGCAGAGCCGGTGTATTAAAAAAGCTGTGGTCTTTCTGAACTACAAAGACACCTTAGGGATGGTTCTTACCTTAATGGCCTTGTTCTTCTCTGTATTCACAACTGTGGTTCTTGGGATATTTGTGAAGCATCATGACACTCCCATAGTCAAGGCCAACAACCAGAATCTCAGCTACATCTTGCTAATTTCACTCATCTTCTGTTTCCTGTGTCCCTTGCTTTTCATTGGGCATCCCAACTAGCTACCTGTGTTCTGCAACAAATCACATTTGGAGTTGTATTAACTCTGGCTGTTTCCACTGTGTTGGCCAAAACAGTGACTGTGATGCTTGCTTTCAAAGTCACAACTCCTGGAAGAAGGATGAGGTATTTTCTGGTTTCTGGTGTCCCCAACTATATCATTGCCATCTGTACGCTCATCCAAATTATTCTCTGTACAATCTGGCTGCAATTTTCTCCCTCTTTTATTGACAAAGATGTGCACTCTGAGCATGTCCAAATCATTGTGTGCAACAAGGACTCAGTTACTGCATTCTACTGTGTCCTGGGATATCATGGCTCCCTTGCATTAGGGAGCTTCATTGTTGCTTTCTTGGCCAGGAATCTCCCTGACACATTCAATGAAGCCAAGTTGCTGACCTTCAGCATGCTGTTGTTTTGCAGTGTCTGGATCACCTTCCTCCCTGTCTACCACAGCACCAAGGGCAAGATCATGGTGGCTGTGGAGGTCTTGTCCATCTTGGTGCAGGCCTACTGGGATGCATTTTCATCCCCAAGTGCTATATAATTTTGTTAAGACCAGAGAGAAATTCTCTTCAAAAGTTAAGGGGGAAAACATCTTCCTGAACACACATTTCATAAATTGTAACTGACAACTACAATATTGGTACAGAACCACCTAATCCAATACAATGCAAACTGTATGAATGGCTAATGATTCTCATCATTTCTTCCAATGAGGAGGCAGGCGCAGCAGTGTCATGTATACTACTTTTCTGTACACTGTGATCTATAATCATCCACACAGCCACTTGCTTTATAAGATTCAATTTATGACCATTAGCGCATAAGGGATGCTTTCCTTTATTCCACTATTGCCCAGTAACATTTAAAATAAACGCTAAGTAATTCTATTAATAAATGAGTGAATGTGGGCCTTTGAATGCAAATGGAAACAGAGAAATCTTTTAGTAGAGTGAAATATTGCTAACAGATGGTGAAACTAATATGCCCATCTTTGGGGAAAGAAAAGAGAATACTATTGCATCCTGGGTGTTAGAGGAGTAGAATTTAGGAGAGAGAGAAATGTATGATAACTAGATATAAAGGATATTGAGCAAGATGAAATGTGTCTCCGCAGTCATCAAACGCCTCCCAACCAAAAATAATCCCAGTACAGAATGGTTTCAGTGCAGAATTCTATGAGAACTTCAAAGAAGAGCTAATACCAATACTTCTCAAAGTGTTTTACAGAATAGAAACTAAAGAAACATTGCCAAACCCTTTTTTTTGAAACTACAGATACCCTGATATCCAATCCACACAAATACTCAGCCAAGAAAGAGAAGTACAGACAAATCTCACTAATGAACATAGATTAAAAAATACTCAATAAAATACTTGCAAACCAAATCCATGAACCCATCAAAAAATCATCCCCGTGATCAGTTGGATTCATCCAAGGCATGCTGGTATGGTTCAACATACAAAAAAATTCTATAGTGTAATCTACAATATAAACAAACTAAAAGAATAAAAACAAAATAATTATCTTATTAGATGCTAAAAAAGCATTCAACAAAATTAAACATCCCTTAAGGATAAAGGTCTTGGAGAGATCATGTATAAAAGGAACACATATAAACATAAGAAAACAATACAGAGGAAGCCAAGAGTCAAAATCAATCAAATGGAGAGAAATTCAAAGTAATTATACTAAAATCAGGAACAAGAAAAGGCTGTTCACTCTCACTATATCTATTCAACATAGTACTCAAAGTTTTAGCAGGAGCAATAAAACAACAAATGGAGATTAAACAAATACAAATTGGAAGGAAAAGTCAAACACTCACTATTTGAAAATGAGATGGTCGTATACATAGGTGACCCAAAAATCTGTACCAGGGAACTCCTACACTTGCTAAACACCTTCAACAATGTGCCAGGATACAGAATTAACTCAAAAAAAATTAATAGCTCTTCTATATTCAAATGATAAAGGGGATGAGAAAGAAATGAGAAAACATCACCATTTATAATATCCACAAATAACATAAAATATCTTAGAGTAAAACTAACCAAACAAGCGAAAGACATGTATGACAATAACTTTAATTCATTGAAGAGGAAATTTGCCAAAGTTATCAGAAAATTAAAAGATTTCCTATGCTCTTCGATATGTATTGACAAAATAGTAAAAATGGCAATCCTATCAAAAAGACTCTACAGATTCAATGCAAGCCCCTTCAAAATCCCAGCACAATTCTTCACAGAACTTGAAGAACAATATTCAACTTCATATGGAAAAAAAGAAATCCAGAATAACCCGAACAGTTCTCTAGAAT